CTCAGCCGCAGCGCTGCGGCGCGGACCAAGCCGCCCCCCCACTCAGTCCTCGCGCCGTCCCCTCCACGGCCCCCCCTCCAGGGAGTACCGAGAGCCGAGGGCCCCGCGGGGATTAGGGTTGGACGCAGTGGATCGGCCAGGGCCTCCGCGGAGACTGGTACCCGTCCGCCCCCGTCCGCCCCATTGGACATTCTGCGCGCGTCTCCTGCAGGGACTGCTCTCGCTGTCACTCATCCGGAAAGGCCTGTAGCTACACACACTTACACACACACATGCACACTTTCCGCAGAGGTAGGGGAGGCGCAATCTTTGTCTCCTCTACATCCACCTCCACTGCACAGAAGAGTCTTGGCGTAAGAACTCCTTACCTTCTGTCCATCCCCTCCACAAAGACTCGATTTCCTCAACTATAAAATACGGCGAATATGGAGAGGGAGAAATGTAATGGATCGATATTTTCCCCGAATTCCATTCACTTTGGACTCGCCTTCGCAGATTGTGGTCCTGTCTGTGCACTATCTGGTTTGATATATCTGAGTTTGAATAGCAAGAAGCATCTTTTTATTACAGTTTCTCCAGGTTCTGTCATCTGCCAAAACATCTGAGACTGAGGCCTTCTTTCACTTGTTCAGAGAAGAGACGGGCAAATGTTACAGAGATGTATTCAAGACACATTAATATCCTGCAGGAATGCTCTCCTTGATGCAATCTGAAAAACAGAAGGGTAACTAAGAGGCAATAAATATCTAGATGTTCAGCTCGGTGTCAAGGTCTATCCATGCATTGTATCTACCCCTCCACCACACACACACATCATGCCCTGAGCTCTGAGAAGGAAACACAGCCCTGGACAATGAGCTCCTCCTCCTCATGCACAGCAGGAAGGAGCTGCTCACCATCACGAGCCAGTGTGTCAAGTTCAGGGTCTGACATCTCCTAAGGAAGAGCTCAATAAACACTGGGTGAGCGAGTGGGTGCACTAGCGAACGGAGACTCAAAGATCAGTGCCACTTTACCCCTATCCGTGCCCAAAAGGATAAATATCGAGTGCTTGTTAAGTGCCAGGCACTTGTGCTGTCTTTAGTCACAACAGCGACATTGCAGAGATTTGGCAGGTTTCGCTGTGGATAAGGACGGCGACGCTCTGAGTGATTAAGCTAAACTCCACAGTCACACTATCATGGGATGGAAATTGGGAAGTCCTAGCTACAAAGCACACTGACCACAAAGGGGTGAACCTGAGTAGTGGTAGAGCTCTGGTCCCACTATGACAATTTTTTCCTGGAAGCTACTGAGTGATAAGTCATTATTAGGTAGCATGTAGAGATCCATGACTGTAATAATAGAATGTCCTTCTCCTACATAGTAATTCAAAGGTAACAAGGAAAAAATAGCATTCACTTTTAAGGTTGACATGTTTGGTGAAACTGGATGTGCCTGTCTATTATTAGTCCTTTAACAGGCCCCACCACCTCCCAGGGAGGCTTGGGAAACATCCCAAGAGACATTGCTGCTGAAGTAGATTTCCTTTGAACCGATGAGCTGGAAGCTGACAGCCCACATCCTGCCTTTTGAACGAAGTGCCCTGGCTGACTTTGGTCTGTAACAACAAACAGTACCTCATGGACCGGGCCTGGTTTTGCAAGGGCTGAGGATTGCTAAAACCCATTCTGTTTCTAGAGATTCTGTACCAGCTGAGTGCAGAGAACCAGGTTTCCATCTGACTCACATCCCTGTACTTCGGGGCTCTTAAATTGTGACTCTTGGTTGCCATTTTTTAGCCAGCCCAGTGATTTCTGTCTTTCTAGTTCACCTGTGGTAGAGCTTTACCTAAATATCCAAATTCTAACTTCTCTAGGAAAAAAAAAGGTATGACCCAATGAAACTTTCATTCCTGAACTCATTAATTCATATATTCACTCACTGAACAAATGTTATTGCAAACCTGTTATGTACTGGCCCAGTAAGTAAATCAGACAAAAGTCCCTGTCCTCATGGAGTTTATGGGAGAAGGGGATGATCAATAGCCTAATCAACTAAAAAAACTATACTGGGTGGTAGGGAGAATCATTCTGTAAAGAATATTAAAGCATTCTGAAGCACAAAGAATGACAGTGCCCAAGAAAAGTTTTTCTCATTAGCAACATCTGAGCAAAGGCCTGAACAAGTGAATAAGCCACAAGCATGTCTAGGGTAGAATGTCCCAGAAAGAGAAAACAGCAAATGCAAAGAACATGATTCTTCAAGTTGGAGAAACAGCAAGGAGGCTTCAGGCTGGAATAGGCATAAGAGGAAGGAAAGGAGGTAAGCATAGTCCACATTTGTAAATGTGGCAAGGAGTTTGAACTTCACTCTACTGAATCGAAGCTGTTGGAGTTGGGGGCAGAGAAGTATCCTGACACCATTTGTGTGTGTTAGAGGTATTCTGGCACCGTTTGTGTGTGTGTGTGTGTGTGTGTGTGTGTGTGTGTGTGTGTGTGTGTGTATTTTAGGATCAGCCTGTCTACTACCTGGAAAGTAGATGACACAAGAAGAAAGGGGAGATGCATAGAGATCAGCCATTTGAGCAGATGAGCCAAGAGATAAAGACCATGCCACATGGCACCATGTGAATTCTGAAGCAGTTTCCTGTATATCAGCATGGGCCCTTCAGGTTAGCAGAGTCCCTGCCTGGCCCCCTCTGCTCACAAAAGAATGAATGCTGGCCACTTGAAAACTGCAGAGACGATGAGGAAGCCGGTTGCTGCAGCTGGAAATGTAGTCCCAGATCTTTTCAGTCCAGACTTGATATGTGATGTATACATTTATTTCCTGTGGCTGCAACCCCCCCCATGAAATTATTACAAAACTGAGTAACTAAAAATAATAGAAGTGTATTACCTGTACTTCTGGAAGATAAAAATATCTTAATGCCAAGGTATCATCAGGGCCTTCTGGAGGCTTTAGAAGAGAATCTGCCTATGTCTTCCAGCTTCTAGTGGCTGTCAGCATTCTCTGTCTTCCTTGGCTTGTGGCCATGTCTCTCTGATCTTCCTCTGTCTGCATCTTCTTCTTTGGGCGAGTCTCCTCTTCTGTCTGTCTAAACTTTCCTGTTTCTCTCATAAAGGATGCTGGTCATTTGATGTTGGGCTCAACCAGATAATCTGGGATGATTGCTTCATCTCAAGATCCTTAATTTGGTTACATCTACAAAGCCTTAAAAAAAAAAAAAAAAAAGACAACACAGATCCCAGGAATTATGACATGGCCATACGGGGAGCGAGCACATTTCTAACAACTGGTGTGCATAACCCTGGGCAAGTTACTTCCTCTCTCTTTATCTCATTTTCCTCCTCTGTAAAATGGTGCAGGGGTGGAGTAGTTTGCCTTCCAACTCTTTCCTTCTAAGGCTGCACTTTTCAGTGCAGTAGATATGAGCCACAGGGGGCTAACAAACTCCCGAAATCTAGCTAGTCTGCACTGGTTGTAATTAAAATATATTTGTAATTATTTGTGATCACATAAGTCATCACCCTAAATTTCAAGTATGTAGCATACAGAAGAATGTAAAAACATCTCACAAATAATTTTTGTCTTCATTGCATGTTGAAAAGTAACATTTGCAATATATGGAGATAAATCAAATTTCTCTCAAATTAGTTTTACCTGTGTGGTTTTATTAAGTTATTTTTTGTAAAGCGGCAACTAGAAAATGTAAAGTTATGTACGTGGCTCACATTACATTTTTTTGCACATCTCTGTGCTAAAGGATAGATGAAACTTGTGAAGTAAATTAATTTGAAATAGAGCTATCAGTAAAAGATCACCTCTATCCCATGCAGCCTCAGCAGTGGTAGCTTGATGGGAGGCTAAAATATCTATTTTCAAGGTTCTCACTCACTTGGCTAATAAGCTGAAGCTGGCTGTCAAATGAGAGCTCAGCCAGGACTTTGGCCAGCAGTGTTACCTGTTCATGGAGGCCACTTCTCTGCCTGTTCATGAAGGCAGTCCTCAACAGCGCAGTGACTCAATTCCAAGAGTCAGTGCCCCAAAGCACAGGAGGTAAAGGATTAGCATTTCTTAAAGTCTGACCTACAAACTGGCTCAGGGTCATTCCTGACATTTTCTATAGGTCAGACAGTCACAGATTCATGTTCAAGAAGAGAACCCATTTCCCAATAGAAGAGTATCGAAGAACTTGGGGGCACACAAAGGGAGCCCAATAAATATATACTGGATTAATAAAATGTCACAGTTTCCATATGACACATGAGGAAAGAGAAGCATGAAATATTAACAATTCTCAAGGTCACTCTAGAACTAAAACCATAATTAAAAGTTAAATGTGGGTAGGGAGTTTAGCTCAGTAGTGCCACCACCTGCCTCACAAGTGCAAGGTCCTGAGTTTGATCCACAATCCAAAAATAAATAAATAAAAAAGTTATTATCAACCACTTACCAGTCCAATTATTTAAATACAGAATAACCAAAAATTGCATTTTTTCATTAATTTTATAAGATAACAGGAAATATAAGAATGATTTGGTACCGAGGATCGAACTCAGGACCTTACACTTGCAAAGCAGGCAGTGAAACCACTAAGCTAAATCCCTGGCCTCAATAATCCTTCCTTGTATGGTATATCTTATAACATTCAATACATGATGCAATGTTGCAATCTGGACAGCAGTATTTAGTCTCTTTCCAAATTCTTTTTTGCATTATTGTCTTTCTTTGATCAACACATTCTACACTGTCGTGTTGACCTTTTTTGCTATAGGTGGTATAGTTTCAAGAAAATGTCTGTCCACCAAAAATAATGGTGAAGACATCAGTTGTGGACATCCTGGTTGTCATTTCATTATCCCATAGTATTTAATTATTTGGCCTATGAGACCTAACCTAAATTGTAAATCAGTTTTTGAACCCTCCCATAGTTTGAATAAGTAATAAACAAGTTCCATATTATTTGGTCCAGAAGGTGATAAATATTTTATAGTAATATTTTCCTCACTTTTTAATGTCAGGATAACTTGCTAGATGATGGTCAACTCTGTCAACACCACCCACAGAAGTATTATGATCACTGACCGCTACTGGAATTTTTTTCATTTCTTCTTTCAAGTTTTGTTATTTCTGTATTAAGAATAGTTGACAATAAGTAGATGTCTTTTTTGTCTTTCCATTTCATAACACAGACTATTCCTCTCTGATATGCTAACATTTCTTGCTTTTTGTTTTTTATTTTGCAGGTCTTTTGACACGTCCTTCCTATTCCGTCTCAGTGTCCCAAATGTGTCTGTTTTGAATTGTAAAACAATATTGTTGAATTCTGAAGAAGTATAAAAATTACATCTAATGTACTTTTTTTTGGGGGGGGGTACCGGGATCAAACTCGAGTCCTTATGCTTGAGAGGCAGACGGTGGCACCACTGAGCTAAATCCCTGGCCCCTAATGTACTTTTGATAAGAGTTTTTATAGATTGTAGCACAAAATTAAAGGTTATTTTTCACAAATAAAATAAACATAAATTAGTAAAAGAAAATAACCAGAACTTATTATGAGATTTCTCTAGAAATAAACATCAAAAGTAAATACAAGAAATTATGCACAGATAGTCAATATAAAACAAAGAAACAGATGTATCAGTATATCTTGTGCAAACAAGAATTGACTGGTTAAAATGATACCAGATCAAGTGACAGTCGAAATGGTCAGTACATAAAACAAATGCACTGCTAAGTCACATTAGGGTAAACTGTTCTGTGGTTAAGAAACAACAGGGCTAAGGATGAAACTCAATGGTAGAGGACGTGCTTAGAATGTACAAGATCTTGAGATCAATCACCAGGAGCACAAAAACAAACAAACAAACAAAAACAACAAAGTACAGCCCATTCAAACAGGAGAAAGTAAACCAATAGCAACTGCTCCAAGAAATGACCAGATGGTGAGCCCACTAACAATGACTTTAAAACAAGAGTCTTAAAGATGCTCAAAAAATAAAGGAAGATGTAGATATACTCAACAAAACAATGCATGAACAAAATGGAAATATTGGTAGAGACAGAAAGCCTGAAAACAAAAACAAATTCTAGAGCTGAAAAGTACAGTAATTGAAATGAAAAATTCACCAAAATTATTCGGGTTCCATGAAAATGGCAGAGTGGCAAGCAACAATTCATCTCACTGAGATTTGTATCAGACACTACAATATAATAATTTTGGGAGGTAGTAGATCTCCAGGAAACAGGAAGGATCTGATAGGAAAATTAAAATCTATAGAGAAATTAAAGAGACAGAGCACATTGAAGAATAGGGAAGGAACAATATGCACTTTCTCTCCAACTTTGGCTCAGGGCTCACAAGAAAGGGAAATCAACTCTACTAAGACAAGGTAAAAGCAGGGGACTCCAGAGGCATTCTGGGAGAAATACAGAAGTAGAACAAACCAGCATATGTTGCAAGCTGCAACAGACAGTAAGAGACTCCAACCCAAATGCCTGCAATATCCCTGGAAAGAGTGCTTGGTCAGATGCCATTCCAGAGAGGGGTTGAAGGTTTGAACCTGGACCTATAAGCAGCCTCAGGACACCTTCAATTGAGGATTCCCAGGGTTATGTTCCTACAAGTCTCTGTGTAAGGGTCAGCTGCAAGAGATAGCTGTAGCCAGGGAGTTGCGGTTAGGCTGGTAAGATACCCCCCAAGGAGTTTAAGCTAAAGGACATGGGCTCCAATCCCATGGTCAAAGGCCAGGTTCTTCCTGAATTGCTTTGGATTTGAAAGTTGCAGATCACTCTTGCCCTAATGCCAGGCCTGCGGGTGGTGCCTGCATCCAGCATGGATCTAGGATCTGATGGCCTTCTTTAATAGCACAAACAGGAACACATTTTGACCTGTAGACTGCCCAAAAATTGTAGCTCATGGAAGAAAATCACAAAGTTAAAATCACACAGAAATTTTTCTTTTCATATTGGTTTTATATATATTTTTCTTTCTTTCTGTTTTGTTTTTTGTTGTGTTGTGTTTTTGTTTTACTTTTCTGAGTGTGTACTTTTTAAAATTTTTGTTGTTTTAATTTTTTTCTTTTTCTCTTCTTTCCTTTCTTCCTTTCTTTTTCACTAGTTTATTTGAGCTTGGGGAATTTTTTGTTGTCCTTCCTCCAGGCTTCTTACTCTCTTTTTTCTTACTTTCTTTTCTTTTCTACCTTTTGGGTTTTCTCTCTTTAATTTTTTTCTCTTATGTTTAATCTCTATATAATTACTTTCTTTGTTCTCATTTTATTTTGTCTTCTACATAGACAAACTATAGTACTCTGAAAAGGAGATTGAAGAGGATATCAGAAAATGACATTCCTGGATAGTTAAAACCCATTCATACTTAGGTATATTTCCAAATGGCCATACTTCCAAAACTGTTATACAGATTTAATGCAATCACAATCAAAATATCAATAGGATTCCTCAAAGAGCTAGAGAAAGCAATCCTAAAATTCATATGGAACCAGTGAAGACTCAAGATGACAAAATAATTCTCGGTAACAAAGCCGTATCAGGGGACATTACACTTCTGGACTTCATATTATACTACAAAGCCACAATGATTTTTTTAAAAGTATAATATTGACAACAAAAAAAAAACAGATTTGTGGATCAGTGGAACAGAATAGGGAATGCAGAAACAAGTTCTTTTTTTTTTTTTTTTTTTTTTTTTTTTTTTTGGTACCAGGGATCACTCAGGTCCTTGTGCTTGTGAGGCAGATGGCAGAACCACTGAGCTAAATCCCTGACCCTCAGCTATCTTATCTTTGACAAAGATACCAAGTATTTTCACTGGAGGAAAGACATCCTCTTTAACATATGGTGCCAGGAAAAGTGAATATTCACATGCTAAAGATTTAATCTATACCTATACCTCTCACAACACACTAAATTAAAATAAAAATGGATCAAAGACATAAGTATTGAAAGAGAAATAATTGACTGGAAGACACAATAGTTACAACTGTTGAAACATAGGTGTAAGCAAAGACTTTCTGAACAGGACACCAGGTGCACAAGAAATAATACCAAGAATCAACAAATGGGACTAAATCAAATTAAAAGGCTTCTTCACAGCCAGGAAACTGCCAACAGAGTGAAGAACAGCCTACAGAATGGAAAAAAATATTTTTCCAGCTATTCCTCGGACAAAGGACTACTATATAGACTATACA